GTCATTGGGTATACCTATAATATCATTGATTATATAATTAATTAATTATAGTATACGTAAACGTAGTACGTATTCTTTATGTATATTACATTTTCTATCAATTGAATTTTATCTTCCGATCCCTACCACCAGTTACTAAGTCAAAGTAGCTGACAATCATTATATTTACGAACTGTTGAGTGTAGAGCCCTCTGTTTCTTTTCAGGATTTGCCGCTCAACAACCGCCGCGGCGCATATATAGGSAATACGAGTAACACTGGTAAGGTACATTTTTGCTGACTTCGACGTTATTACGTGACATATTATTATATTATAATTTCACAATATTTTAATACTAAATACTAATTAGTAAGAAATATCAGTTTTGTTATTTATATTCATAGTTTAATGCGTATTGATAAAAAATCCTGTTATCAAACACAAATATATAATAATACTCGTATGACAAAACATTACACTATTATGGTGCGTCCTACATAATGTCCAAAGCAAAAAAATCCAATGAGAAGGAATTTGACCACCACTTCCCCCCTTGTATACGCCACTGGTCAGCGAAATTGAYGAACACAATTTATAACATGTGAATATCGATCAGAGCAGTTAATGTGTACCCACAGACCTTATAGTGTAAGGTCTGTGTGTGTACCATTTTCCTATCCTATAATTTTTATTTTTTTTGCCTGCGATTTTCGGTGCAAATGACCCATAAATCGTTTGTTAAAAAATATTGAACAATAAATCAATTATTGATCAGTCGATTTTTCTAATTATTATGAAGCTACTTAACAATATTTTAAATACAGTAGAAATCGGTTATTACGAGTTTCAAGGGCCAACTAGTTTTTCTCGTTATAACCAGTAGCTCGTTATATGCGGTTAGAACGAGCAATCGTTGTAAGCAATTAAAAGCGGGAAATACAAAAATAAAACTGACGACTTTTTWTATTAGACTTATAATAGAGATTAATACTGAATTTATACATGTTACATTATTTTATAGTTTATACATACATTTATTAYTAATTATTATAATTGGAGATTTAATACTTTATTTATCAATACATATTACTTAAACAAACTATAAAACACTTGAATTTAATTTCTTAAAATAATCTTTGATCGAACTTTTYTTTGTGTATTTAGTGTTGATCGATGTTTCTAATAAAGACAACGCTTTTCTTTCAGCATCTGTACCTTCATATTTTGTGTAATAAAATTTTTCTAGTGTTCTCAACGCAGCACGAGCTTCGGATATTGACGGCACAGTTTCAAACTCATTATCAAGCTCATCAATATCAGTATCATTATYTGGCTCAATTTGTTGGCTGGCAATGACATTGTTGACTATATCTTCRTCCGTTTGAATTTCTGACGTTATGAGGTCGTCATCAATCTGTACGTAGTCCTCATCAATGTCATTAATCAATACACTGTCTGCTTGTAGCTGTGTTGTATCGGTCGAAACGYCACAAAAACCTGCATGCCGAAAGCAATTAGCAATCCCTGTCGATGTTACATTACGCCAAGCTTTATCCAGCATTATTATGGCATCCAAAACAGTTGTTTTTGATTCTACATGATTCTCAATATCTTCAATCATTTTCAGTACTAACTGATTCCGGTAATGAGCTTTAATGTTCCTAATAACGCCCTGGTCCATTGGTTGAAGTACACCAGTGGTGTTGGCGGGCAAAAATATGAGTTTAATAAATTTCAAATGCTATGACGGTTGTGCTGGTCAGTTGTCTACCAACAGTAGAATTTTTGTTTTCCTACGGCGTAACTCATCATCCCAATAATTAAGAGTTTTTTCAAAAATTGCTGAGGTCATCCACGCTTTGGTGTTATTTTCGTAAAATACCGGAAGTGATGAAACTCCTTTAAAATACCGAGGGCTTTTCGACTTTCCAATAACAAGGAGTTTTCTYTTATCATTTCCGGTCATGTTGGCTGCCACTAAAACTGTTATTCTGTCTTTGGATAATTTTCCACCCGAGCATTTTTCCCCCTTGAAGTGAAGAGTTTTATCGGGAGTTAATTTGAAAAAAAGGCCTGCTTCATCGGCATTATAAATTTCATCATCACAATAACCTGCTCGAAGGGATGGCCAAACGTTAGCCAGCCAATTAGAGCAGATATCAGTATTAACTGCAGATGACTCACCTGAGATCTTGCCGAAACCAATGTTGTGCCGCTGTCGGAAACGCTGAATCCAAGATGCAGAGCATTTGAAATTTTCTGTTTTCATTTTTCAGCCAGTTGGTCAGTTTTTGATTGCAAAATAAGATCACTTATAGGCACATTCAATAATCGCTGTTGTTTGAACCATGCTAGTACAGCTTCTTCAAGGTCCTTATGTTGTGCAGTTCGCAGTCGTTTAGCGTTAAGTGACGTGGTTTGGAACATATTTTTCAAYGTATCTCGATTCTTCCATATTGTTGAAATTGTCGACGAAGAGGTGCAAAATTCTTTTGCGATCACGCTGTTTTTCTCGCCATTTTCTAACCGCCCGATTATTCCGATTTTTTCGTCCACCGTAAACTGACGACGCGACATGGTGGAACACAACTGACGCTATTTGTAATTTTTATTAACTTGAAAACACCAGAATTTGTAGAAATAATGTTTATTACTTATATCTACACAACTTACTAAAGATAATGTATGTCAATGATTARTCGACCTAAATAATAGCCAAAAGTTCTTATCTTGCAGGTATCTGTTCGTAGTAACCGGAAGGTCGTTAGTCAAGTTCGTTTTATTTTACTCGTTATAACCGATAA